AAAAAAAAAAAAAAAAAAAAAAATGATGCTTTAAACTAAAAGGAGTGATGCTAGAAAAGGAATGATGCTGAGACAATCTTGAGTTTCATACTTATATATCTATTATCTACTATTGCCAAAGTTGTTGGGGCACAGGGTTTTTTGTTCTTGTTTTGTTTATTTTGCTTATTCTGGAACTTGAGACTAAGGCTTTGAATGCACCAAGCATATGCTGTACCCCTATATCCCAGAGTTTAATTTCTGCATAGATGAGGAAATTAGCAACTATCAAACATTTCAACAAAGGGCTTAATCCTTGCAGGCTACTCGATACTGAGAATCTTTCTGAATTTTACGTATATATGTGTAGCTGTGTTAAGACAACCTTAATTGATGCTGTTGAACGGGCTGCTCTGTAGTTCTGTCATGGACTGTTAACTTCTATCTAGCTTATCATATACTTTTCTTTCTTTTCATAAAATACTGGTTTTGTGAAATATGTTCTTACTCTGTGTCCTCAGGCTGGCCTGGAACTCACTATGTAGCCTGATCTAACCTCAAACTCATGAGCTCCTCCTGCCTTAGCCTCCCAAATACTGAGATTACAGCTGTGGCCACCACACCCAGCTTATTTTAGCATTTTGGTCCTTTATGAACCTATGTAGTGAGAAATCCATTTAAATTTTATACTAAATTGTATTTAGGAAGAGAATACTAAAGAGGAACCAGACCTATTAGTAGCCATTTTGACCATCTCTGGCATGTCTTTATATCCGAATAATTTAGAAGGCCGAATAATGTGATTTATGGAAAAGGAGTAGATTCAATATAGTTACTACAACAACTATCAGTACTATAACCCTTTAAAATTGATAAATTTGCCCACTTACTTCTGCTGTTACTACATTGCACACACATAGACCAGTTTTTTGAATTATCCATCATTTTATAAAACTCATCTTTTTGTCAAGTTGTGAATATTACCTCTAGAATTGATTGCTTCGGTGTATGAAAGTTGAAACAACTAAATGTTGTACTTAATAATTGTTTTATTTCAGAGCAAGGCACAGAAGAAGTTAAAAAGTTGCTTTTACTCTTACTGGGTTGTGCAGTTCAGGTAAGCTAAAATATTTCTTCATATTTTTATTTTAATAAAACTGTGTTCTTCAAGTTTTTGTTTCTGAAAGACTTGATACACTACTGGTCTTCAAAGTCTATATTAGAAAATTTTAAGTATACATGGAGATTATGTTTAAAAAATTTACTGTCACTTTATTTCAAAATTTAGTTATAGCCTCAAAGTCATATATTAAAGACCTTATTTTTCCTATTCTGAGGTTTCTAATGACTCAGATTTTTATGTCTCTTTAGAGACATCTTTGAAAATCTCCCTCAAATTTCTTATGGTTTGCTCATGTGTGCTTATCTTTTAGGAAAAGAGAAGCAGGATTAGTAGTTAAAAGGAGAGAATATGTGAAAAATGTGTATGTGTGTGATATATGTACATGTAAGTGTTCATGTATGTGTACATGTGGTACACAGAGGTCAGCACCAGGTGTTTTCTTCAGTCACTCTCCACCATAATGAGCCTACTGTATAAAACATGAGAAATTATTCCTTTTATCCAGCTATATTCTTGTGCCCATTTACAAATTCTCTTTCTGTTGTAATCTTCCCTCCACTTCCACCCACCATCCAACTTCTTCTTAACATACTATCTGTAGCTCTCGTAACCACTGTGGGAGCAATGTTCATATAATTTATGTCATTAAATTTCTATTGTAATACACAAGTGATTGCTTAACAACTGATTAACTATTCTTAAATATGGTGTTTGTTGTCACTGCTGTTCAAATTTGGTACTCAGGTCCTTAGTTTGCAACACAATCCTTACTTATTTACAAATAGTGTATAACGGCATTTGCTTTCAGAAATAGTCTTGTGCCGGGTGTGGTGGCCCACACCTTTAATCCCAGCACTGGGAGGCAGAGGCAGGCATATATCTGTGAGTTCAAGGCCAGCCTGGTCTACAATAGTGAGTTCCAGGACAGTTGGGGCTTGAGAGAGACCCTGTTTCAAAAGACCAAAAACAAAAAAGTCTTGCTAGTGAATGTGGCATGAGTCTAGGTAGCAGAGCGACTGTGTAAATTTGGTTGTTACTACTGGTTACTCGGGTTATTAATGCTGTTTGCTAGAATTGACAATGGGAGTGGAATAGAAAGAAGAACATCCTTTATGAACATTTTAGGAAATAACCTAGCATATTAAAGATACCATTATTGCCATCATTAAGAGCAGGAAATAAAAGGATACAAAATCTGATTCACTTTGCTTCATCTAAATAATTCATCATAGATGTTAGAAGTAAGAAGGGCAGTGCTCTTTTTTCTAGCAAGTTAAGTCTTTGTTAATACCATCTTGTGGTCACCGGCTGAGGCTGCTCTCCTCCAGCTATGGTCGCTCTTCTGCTCTCTCAGTTCCTCTGATCAGTCGTCTGGTCCAGACCCCAGGGCTGGTGAGGAGTCTGCGCCAGCACCAGCACCTCCGCATTCAGATGCAGGAGACCAGGTTCAATGACACAGATCTGCTTTATTGCAGGAAATATGGGCTTATATAGGGGTAATAGTCCAATCATAACACAGCATATGGGATCCCTTATTAGCATGGCAGACTAGTATCCTATTATAATCTAGCAGGGCAGATGCCCTATTAGCATGATAAGTTTCAGATCCTCTAAGCTTCGGATTCCTGGAAACCATGAGACTTACATAGTTTTCTCTCTGATAAGAAACAGGAAGCACTGCATTCCACATGATAGGTGTGTAAGGCAAAAGGCAAAATCAGTCACAAGATTTTCCATAACATCTCCCCCTATTTTTTCATTTTTAAGAGTGAGGCACAGTTGAATATATAGCACACTGATATCAGTCCAGGGGCTGTATGTCGCGGATTTTTCTGTTGTGCATCAAGGCAAGGTAGAGTGGCTTGGGAGGCAAGAGATTGATCCCTTATTGTTGGCCCCATCCTTCAAGATGGCAAGTTCTCTCGAGAGCAGGCTGGGCCAACTCCATGCCAACCAGTGGGAGTCAGCCAGTGGGAGTCAAGATTCTTTGCCTTGGCATTGTTGTCCCCACCTCAAGGGTCACCTAGCATTATGGACTATGCCTGTCTTAGGTTGTCCCATCTCTCGGGATCTTACCCGTCATTGACTACCAGCCCTCTAAGGGTGAGTCCCTTGGTATGGTCTAGCAGAAGGAGAGGCAGTGTATCAAGCTTTGGCCCATGCAAAGGCCTCTTAACTACTAATAATTTAATAAAAGCCGATGGAGCAGGGTTGTCCCATCTGGGGTAACGATGGAGATTAGGGAGTGGCAAGTTCTAGGCATTGGTCTCACAGTCTGCCAACAGGAGTATATATCACAAGGCATTTCCTGTGGCTCTGGCAGTCGAGCCGTTGTCTCAGGTCTGTTGCATGGTTGTTCCGTAAGACTTTATACCTGTGCTTAAGCCTATTTTTCATATCTCTATTATTATAGGTTGGTAAGGGCAAGGAACAGCGGGTCCTTGTTTGCAGAGACATGCCTGGCAAGATCTGGAGGCAGGGCAACAGCTAACTGAACCAGAGAAATACGAGTTTTAACAAAATTATCAAGACCCTTAAACAATGCAGGGTCCAAAAATCAGGAGTTAGCAGTGATGATGGCACATATAATAAGGAACACAGGCAAAGGTTTTCCTCTGGATTGAGGACTTAGCTTAGCTAATGTCTCTGTTTGTGGAGAAAGATGTTAGAGGTCTCCCCAGGTTGGTAGCTTTCGTGGTCTGTGACATTGGATCAGTCTCTCGGTAGTCTGCCATCTCCGGGGTCAGTGATTGTGGAAGGAGGTTTTCCGTTGCAGGCAATTCTGATGTTCCGGGCTGGGATCCAGATGGGGCTGGAAGATTATCTGGAAAGACAAAAGCATAGCCTCACCCTTGTGTTAATAATAGGTGTAGACCTTTCCATTCACTTGTGAGAGGGTCCTTCCATCTCACCATGGGGGCAGGAGTGGGCTGAGTGAACACCCCCCAATGCTTTATTGCTGGTGGGAGGCCATTGGAGTCAAATTTAGAAAATTTAATACAAATAAAGCTTGTTGTATAACAAAATTGGGGTCCTTATAGCGGGGGCCTTTATCATTGTCTTCCCCTATTTTCTGTATTTGTTTAATGAGTGTTTGGTGGGTACGTTCAACAATCCCTTGACCCTGAGGATTGTAAGGTGTACCAGTTATATGCCTAATATTCCAGTCAGAGCAAAACTGGCTGAAGGTAGCAGAAACATAACAAGGACCATTATCTGTTTTTATTTGCCAAGGAACTCCCATAAGGACCATGACATATTTGACAGTCCTTATGGCATGAGAAGCTGTCTCACCAGAGCAGGCCAACGCAAAATGGATATTGAAATAAGTGTCAATAATATGATGGATATACTTGAGCTTGCCAAAAGGAGAAAAATGAGTGACGTCCATTTGCCATATCTTGTTGGGGCCAAGACCTCTAGGGAGAATTGTGACGGGTTGTAATGGTCCCAGAGGTAGAAGAGGGGCACAAGAAGAGCAGGCATGGACCAAATGCTTGCAGCTCTGAATTGGTAGAGTGGGTAGAAACCTATGTATAGCTTGGGGAAAAAGATGAAAATGGGCTTGTAAGTCTCTAGCGTGTTGAATTAGGGTGGAGTCTAGGGTGGTGCTCAGGACCAGTTTGTCAGTGGCGGCATTGCCCTCTGCCAGAAGCCCCGGGAGATTGGTATGAGAGCACAAGTGTTGAATAAACCAAGGGGCAGAGTGCTCAAATAATCCTTGGTTTAGCTATTGCTTCTGTGGAATCACCACCCTGCTCTGCACCCACCGCCATCGTCTTCAGGAGTGGGGCTGGCTTTGGGGCACCGGGGAGAAAGATGAAAAGGGGAGTGTAAGTCTCTAGCTTGTTGAATTATGGTGGAGTCTAGGGTGGTGCTCAGGACCAGTTTGTCAATGGTGGCATTGCCCTCTGCCAGAAGTCCTGGGAGACTGGTATGAGAGCATAAGTGTTGAATATACCAAGGGGCAGAGTGCTGCTTGAGTAATAGTTGTAATGAGGAGAGCAACAAATCAAGGGGACTCTGGCGGGGCTGGAAAGCTGCAAAGGCCAGATGTTGTAGAGTCTGGACTACATAAGCACTGTCAGAAAAAATTTTACAGGGAGTTCTAGGGAGATTCTGAAAGACCTGTAACATGGCTGAGAGCTCTCCGAGTTGTACAGATCCCTGGAAAGGGAAAACCTTATGTGAAGAGAATTGTCCTTCCTGGTAAATTACATGACCAAATTTGCATTTACTAGAATCAGTAAAGATTAGGGGAGCCTTAGGAAGAGGGTTACGCTTCGGGAATGCTTGGGGAAATAGGGACAGGGGAAGTTGTCTTATTCCTTGAAGGAGTTTATGTTTAGATCAGGATAATGATTGTCATATTTCCCCTGATAGACTAGTAGGAGACTTTGGAAGCCGGGGTTGTCAAGGAACAATGACTGGAGCATGTGAAGTGGAAGTATAAGAGCAAACGATTCGGGTTTGCGGCCATACAGAAGGTGGGAGGTGTGGACAAGTTTAAGGGCTAGCATAGCCCATGCCTCAATAGCCGGGGTGACCTTGTGAAGTTGACTCCATGCAGAGTGGACCCATATCAGGGGACTCTGGATCTGCCAGAACGCTCCCAAAGGGGTGTTTTTAGTAGGAATAACTAGTGCTTGGATGGGCAACTTTGGCTGTGTCCTATTTACAAATGCTTGGGACAGGTGAGAATTGATCATTGTGACAACACGTTTTGCCTCTGGAGAGACCTTGTGGGGAATGGAGACCATATCAGTACACCACAAGAGGTCAAAGAGCGGTATAAGCTTTTCTGTGGACATGGGTAAGAAGCCCTGTATCCAGTTGATGTTGCCACAGAGGGTCTGCGCCTCTGAAAGGGTAACCTCATCTGGTAAGAACAGGAGCTATGGGCCAGATGACATCTTGAATAGAGTGGTCCAAAAAGGTATAAGGGGCATGTAACTGTATTTTATCTGCTGCAATACCTAATGCCTGGAGGTTTG